AGCAAGTTCAATTCCCCCTCGACTCAGAGGCCCACCCTGCTCTGAGCAGTTTGTAGTCACATACCCATCAGCCTCGATCTGCTGGTTGGTGAACCTATTCAGTACAAGAGAAAACAGATGTCTGCTGTCTCTGCCAAGTCCCTTTCTTGCATTTTAGGAACCATTCCACATGCACAGGGAGGGTTTTGTTAATTTCTTTCAGATGATGACTGAGTGCTTTACACCATGTGGGACCTCTAAGCCCTGCTTTTCTACTCAAGTGAGCATTAGTGCCACTTAGCCCTCTCACGGCCAGTGTGGATACCTAGTTTTCCATGTGTCAGAGAAGCCCTTGAACCCATCCATGCCTGGGGTCATAAAGAACCCATTGCTCCTACTGCTTTTGGCTACATAGAATTGACAGAATAACTTTTTACAGACATAGCAATTTACTATTTAGACATAATAAAACAGTTACAGTTGTCACTGATTTTAAAGAGACTAAATCCCCATTCAAAAACACTGCCAGTGACTATGAGTACTTTATGTCGCATTTCCTATGAATATATACTAATGAGAATTTGTGGGCATTGTAGGGCTTCATTTTTTGTTTTCTTTTGCTACCAGCTTAGAATTTCTTCTCTTTTTTTGTGTTTTAACTTTATAAAACTACTGCAACATTATGGGCAGTGTTTGCAACAGGTTGACCACATGAAAAGAAAGAATATGTAATATTAGCTCTAATCATCATCCCAAATGAAGAAACTTAATTGACAAGGTTGTTGCTATGGAAAACAAATAAAATAAATCATTACAGGGATGAGAATGGGACTCGGTAGTATAGCGTGTTTGCCAGGCAAGCACAAGGCTTCAGAGTTGAATCCCCAGTATTAAAAAGAAGAAAAAAAAATCATAGGAAATATTTACATACATTTAGTCCACTCTGTGTCACTTTATCAAAGACTGTAAAGAACCCATTTTTTCCTTGATTTAAGTTTTTAATAATTTTAATATTTTCTTCATTGGTAAATGTTCAAGTTAAATCAAAACTTTAGAAATATGTAATTTTTATTAAAGTTTTATCACAGAAGTAATGCACATATTAGAAAGTTCTTATAGCCACCTTGTCCAACACCCTTTTAAAAATACTTCA